GTGGCTCAGTGGGTTGGGCCTCTGCCTTCGGCTCAGGTCGTGATCTCAGGGTCCTGGGATCTAGTCCCGCATTGGGCTCTCTGCTCAGCGGGGAGCCTGCTTCCCTCTGTGTCTCTGCCTGCCTCCCTGCCTACTTGTGATCTCTCTCTCACTCTCTGTCAAATAAATAAATGAAATTTTAAAAAATAAAGAAAGAAAGAAGATATGCAAGCTATTACTACATTTTCTCCCAATTTCTATAGGAAATTTCCTTTTAATTAAAAAACATGTTAAATAAATGCAAACATACAATACAGAATCACCTTGGAAAGGTGGTAAATCATCTTTTTGACTATAATTTTAAGTCTTTGTCCAAAGCAGTTGTATAGTTTTATTTGATATAGTTTCATTAAGCTGGGCCACTCTGTGATCAGGTATAACAGCTGGACATGAATTTGCTTTAATGTGTTTTAACATTTTTTAATGACATTAAGACAATGGTTTCATCACTTAAAAAATAAGAGAGAAGTAATCAAAGATCTTGGAAACAGAAACTTCCTACACATGAGAGTTTCAACAACTGGGGAGAGAGAGACTAAGTACTGCTTTTTAAATATGGTTTCCTGAAAGTGAACTAACAAAGTAACTTTTTATTTCTAATATTGCTTATTGGCTTCACTTTTTACATTCCCAAAGCGACAATCATTTTCATTGTCTATATTCTTTATTAGTAAATAAACTGCCTATGAAAAAGACACAAATTTTTAAAAATTTTTCCTAATAAACCCATCAGTAGTTATCTATATCCAACATTACAAATAAGTCCTTTCATTTTTAAGGGAGAAACCTTAGACAGCTATCAATTTATTTTGACAATAATGCCAAGACATCTTCCACTACTCTTCCTTTGGAAACCCTTCCAGTATGTGTGACACTTTTTGTTTTTTAAAAAGGATTCTCACTGGTGGTATATATATCTTCATCCATTACAGTGCTTTGGTTTAAAGTTTTGGAAACCATCTTATAAAGGAGGTTAAGTAATTAAACTGAATGATCAAATACTTGGGCTTATATTATTTTAATAATCATAAGTTAATAAAACTAGTTTTTTGAGTGTTTTCCAAACTGTCTTAAAGTCAGTTAAGACTTTTAAAAACATTTCAAAAATGTTTTTTTATGAATGGCAGCATGTCTGAGATATCTTCCTTGTCTGACCTTTTAAGGAAAACATTCATGTAAATAAACCAATTCTAATACAATGAAAGGCAATGTGTCATACTGCTTTACAGTTACAGCTTATATAGCATATTTCAATAATAACTGATAGGTGCTACTGTATACTTAAAAGAAGGAAATGTTGGGGGTTTTTCTTGTTTTTAAATAGGTGTGGAACCCAGTGTGTGGCTTGAACTCATGACCCTGAGATCAAGACCTGAGCCAAGATTAAGAATCAGACACTTAACTGAGCCACTCCGGCGCCCCAAAGAAGGAAATGTATAAATATTCGATTTTTTAACTATAGTCAAGTTAAAGGTATATTCTAATAACTTCTTTCTTAAATTGACCATGTAACCTTTTCATTGATATTGGGAGTTTATTTCAAACTGCTATTTCTAACAACTCTGAATCTCAGATCATTTTCTGTTAGTAACATTATGGATGTTAACAGAAATATTAGGAACAGTTTGGCTATTTTAAATTACTATGTATCAAAGGATTTAGCAGAGTAACACATAATAAACAAAAATAACAGTATATATTAAGATGCAAATTATGAGATATTTCATTAAAATATCATGAATCTGCATTTAAGTATATTAGATATAGTAAGCCAAGAGTAACATCTATCTATTTGCTAATTAACTCCAAAATGTGGAAACAAGCAGCAAAATATAAAGGAAAAATATCCAAAAATATCTTGTTATATTTTACAGTTTTTAGATACATTCATATAAATGATTTTATAATTTTAATACCTTAAGAACTAGGTACTAGGTGTATCATTTATCCTTTACACACTAAATATGTACTTTTTAGCAAGTATTTGAAATTTTTTATTTTACTCAAGGGTGGAAAAAGAAAGATGTGGAAGAATTTATACCAAAAGGTATATTTTAGTCATGGGAAGGGAAGGAGGGGAGTGAATTACAGAAATCACTTTCTTGTTGAACTTTATGAATCACTGTAATCTTTTCAATGATCATGTATTATGATTTGTATAGGGGAAAAAATAAAAATTGTAAAAAGTCGAAATTTGCAAGGAAATAAAACCCTTGTTCAAATATGACTATGGGTGAAATTCAAACAAAGATGCCTCTCCACATCGACTTTTCTCACTATTTAACAGGCCAGACTCAGCTGTGCCTTGAGGCTTTAATAGCTGTACTCCCTCTTCCCAGAATGATCGCTCCCAATTCTTCACACTGATTCTTGCTTACTTCTCACACATATCCTCCTTAAGAAGACGTTCCCTGATCATTCTATCTAAAATTGTCCTACATTACTGCCAGCTCCACTACACTACTGCCCATACATACACCCTGCTTTATTTTTCTTTTTTTTTCCACCCAGTTGCCCTACCCCTCCACCCCCTTTCAGAAACTCTCAGCTTGTTTGTTTCCTATGATTAAGAGTCTCTTATGGTTTGTCTCCCTCTCTGGTTTCACCTTATTTTTCCCTCCCTTCCCCCATAATCCTTTTTTTTGTTTCTTAAATTCTACATATGAGTGAGAGCCTATGGTAATTGTCTCTGACTGACTTATTTCACTTAGCATAACAGCCTCTAGTTCCATCCACATTGTTGCAAATGGCAAGATTTCATTCTTTTGATGGCTGAGTAGTATTCCACACATATCACATCTTCTTTACCCATTCATCTACCGATGAACATCTGGGCTCTTTCCACAGTTCAGCTACTGTGGACATTGCTGCTATAAATACTGGGGTTCTGGTGCCCCTTCAGATCACTACCTTTGTGTCTTTGGGGTAAATACGTAGTAGTGCAATTGCTGGGTAGTCGTGTAGCTCTATTTTCAACTTTTTGATGACCTCCATACTGTTGTCCAGAGTGACTTCACCAGCATGCATTCCCATCAACAGTGTGGGAGGGCTCCCCTTTCTCTGCATCCCTGCCAACATCTGTCGTTTCCTGACTGGTTAATTTTCCTGCTTTATTTTTCTTTATAACACTTAGCATTAACTGACTTTCTATCATGATTTGGTTTACTTACATACTGTCTGGCTTCCACAAAGAAATACAACTGTATAAGAGGAGGCACTCTGTCTTACTCACTGTTGTATTCCCTATACCTAAAATAGTTGATGACCCTAGACATTCAAAAAATACTCACTAAAGAAATGAGTGATTCGTCTCCAAGGAGTTAATAAATTTTTGTTCCCAATATCAGACCCAATAAAATAGTCTGCATTTCCTTGGAGCCATGTTCCTTGGAGCCATTTCCAGCCAATCAACACTGGATTTTTACTAAAAATCTTAAATTAAAAAATAATTAAGGAAAGATAGTATTTAAGGTATTATTTAAGATATAATTAAGGAAAGATAAAGCTAATGCTTTAGAATTATAATTACTGTTCTAATACATTACTATTAGTAAATAATCATTTAAAGATGGTTATAAATTTGCTTGATTAAAAAAATGAGAGTATCTTTGAAGTTCTGAGATTGCCTTAAAACACAAAATTGTCATATGACAATAGAAGGTGCTATGTATTACTAAAATTAAAAGCCTTCCAAAAAACACATTACCTCAAGTTTAAGCATCTCCATTAGAAAGCAGAAAAAAAATAATAAAATGATGGATGAAAGGTGGAAGACAAGAGTGACAAAAGTACACAATGAACATACAAATGTCCGAACATACTGTTAAATCTGACCTCTGATATTTACATACTTTTAAAAGACATTTAAGTATTCTCTTCAATAACTATGCATGAGTATAATCATTTTTATTCCATCTTTATAAATATTTTAGCTTTTAAAATGAGTTTATTTGGAATACATTAAGATTCCTAAAAGATCATTTCCATTAAAGACCACACCAAATATAAGTTGATTACAGCTTTGATATTTTCAATAATGTATATTTTTTTTAAATAATACTTTTTTAACCCTTAAATCCTCAACTTCTGATCTCTAACAGTATTTTCAAATGCTTTAGAATAAGTTATTTTTCTAAAATATCTAGACCTAAAAAAAAAATTGTCAATGATTCATAAGGTATATGTAAATGAGAGTAATGGAACATAAAAACATACTTAATATTACATGTTAGATTATGTCTTCTGCCTCAATTAGAAATACCAAATAAATCATTACATTTTTGGCTTCTTTAATTCCTTTTAATGTATTTTGTTTCAGACACAGTATTTAGGTTCTGTGAAGTAGTAATATATAAAATAATTTTTTTCATTAAGTGTTACAATCCACCAACAAATTTGAGAATAGGATTGAATTTTAATAGATCAGTAAAATACATGTCATATATTTAAAAAGTAAGCAGAAGATAAAAACAAATGGAGTTATAAACAAATAAAAGAGATGGACTATTTAGACATTAATTTTTTAATATGAAAATGGTATGAGACATAATTCAAAAGTATTTTAAGTTGTACTCAATATAAATATTATAACATACAATATGGCAAAATATAAAAAGTAGTAACAGTAAGTATTAGGTCAAGATTAACAGCACAGATTTACTTGTAATGCAATTATCAGACCACCCAAAATGAAAGAAAATGATAGAGAAAGACTGCAGGCTTTGGAGAAGACCTGAGTTCTAAGCTTCCTTACATGAAGCACATGCACTTAAATAATATATTTACCTTCACTGAGCCTCAGATTCCTTCCATAAAAAACAAACATAATACTTCATTTATAGGTTAAAAGAAACAAACGACCATATATTTAAAGTACCTGGCATAGTATCAAAAACCTAGCAGTACTCAAAAAGTTTAAGAGTTTGTTTCCAATAATAATATTACTCTGACTCTTAGTCTACCATTTCCTAAAGTTGTTTTAAAGACTTCAGTATAATGCGAGGTCTCCATCATTGCAAACCTATTTGTTAATTAAGTAGAAAGTAAATATTATCCTTGTTTTACTAAAAATATGATGAAATGTTAAGTCGCTATTCAGCAAGAATAAATTTCTTTATTTTAAAATTCATTTGAAAACATTTAAAAAGAAAAATTTCATGAAAATGTAAGAGAAAATGTACAGAATGGATTTCTATGCCATTTTTCCTTTCCAGAAACATCTTTCTGAGAGAAAAAAAAAAATAATCATTGTTTCCCACAATCAACCTTTTTGACAGAAGGACAGTACAGGAAGACACTAAATCCTCTTCTCCCAAATCTTATATAATTCTAGTTATGCTTTTTCATCCTAAATGACCTCCTCATAACATATAAAGATAATTTAACCTACGTGAATAAAAATGCAAATATACAAAAATCTTCCATATTAAACAAATTATTAAATAAAATATTCCTCAGAAATATTTTCCCACATACATTTTTCCCAAAATGAAAGTAAATATATAAATTTCTCCTCCCTGTTCAAATTCTACTTGTTTAGCAAGTAAATATGTAACTCCATAATTCTCAGCTGGAAAAGGACAGAGAGGATTGTACTTTAAAATAGATACATCATAAAAGTGTCATTATTGTGATTCAATTTTAGTCACCCTATTATATTTGTTTGGAAATTTCAAATAACATTAAAGGAATGTTCTTAATCAAAAAGAGAATATAATTTTTTAAAAATTTAAGAAATACTAGTGGGCAGGCAGATTTAATCAAAAATAATTCTTACTGAAGCACAGAAATAAATGACTCAATTCACCCAAATTCAAGTATTTCTGCTTTCACATTATCTGAATGGGATTTTTCCTCATGAGACTTCTTTGATTCAGCATCTCCTTGATTACATAGTAGAACCGTTTAACTGGCTTCAGTAAGTTCATGCCCCCTGAAATTGTTTTAAAAACTGTGGTGTTATATGTCACTGGGCTACAAGATCACTTTTAGGAAATCTGCAGCTGAAATTCATAAACTTTAAAGTCTAAAGTACTAATCATCATAAAACTTCATATGCCTATGCATGTAATACCCATAAACTTTCCTCCCATTAGGAGGAAGAAAGAAAAAGGATGACATGGTTATCTATAATATTTATACTCCATAGCTCACTGTATTACTAATTGTGAATAGAGTGGCTTTTAGATCACTAGCTTTAAAATTCCAAGAAAGAAACACAAACTGAAATGTCACTATAACTCAACTCTTTAAACTGAAAATATGAAAAAGAGAGCTCCACATCACATAAGAGAGCTTAAGAACTAAAAACAATTAATAGACTATTAATAGATTTAAAAAGTCCTCTATAATACAGTATAAGTGGAAAAGGCTAGCATTTTTAAGCAAATGTATTTATTACATATCCTAGAGCTTGTCATATACCGACATAATTATGTATCTCAAAGATGTACAGGCCAAAGTCAAGTCATGTGACAAATAGTAAAAGGAACTGAAAATGTTTATCCTGGAAGAGAAAGAACTCAGTAAATATTAACAGTCTTCAAATATCTCATGTGGAAAAAAAGGAACAATTTATTCTGTGTAATTCCTAAGGAGAACTGGACCCAGTGCATGTAAATTACAGGAAAACAAATGTCGACTCAACAGAACAGCTGACCTACAAAGAAATATGCACCTCCTAGAATACATAACAAGTAAGTATCACTTATCAGATGCTATCTATAGAGGGGAATCCTGGGCGAAGTGTTAGACTTAGCTGATTTTTAAGGTTTCTTTCAACAACATAATTCAATAATTGGTAAGTGAGAAACAAACCTACAAAAAAATAAGTTTTTCCTAAATATTTTTTCTGAACAACATTGGTAACACAAATGTAAAAAATGAAATCATACTTCCTTTACCTCTATCAAGCTGACGTACACTCAATTACCACTTATTGACTAGCTTGGATCAAATTTAACTTTAAATATCATCTCCTCACAATATATATCATTTATTAAATAAAACAATACTCTTACACATTCTTCTCTATATGTCTAGCTTCATAAAGCAAAGTTAAATACTGTCAGCTTAGACTGATTATATACAAATATCATCAGAGCAAATGAAAGTCAAATACTGTTTTGACAGATCACTCAGAAAAATCTCAAATGTTGGCTTTACTCAATAGTATACACTAAACAAGTTAACAAAAGTCACATTTAGGCATACTGAACTTATTTACCTCTGAGTTGGCATATTCTGCCTGTAACTTTTTGCACTCATCTTTGAGTTTTTCAGATTCTTTCTCACATTCCAATGTCATGTTGTCCATTAGTGTTTGAACTTGTACCAGTTCTTTCTTTAGCACAGCAACATCTTCTATACCAGGTCTCTGAAGCTGCAGAGCACATTTTCATTAAAAAATAAGGTGAGAAAACTAAAAGAACACACATTTTTATATGGTTTTACTACAAAGACATCAAAATGAAAATAATCTTTGATATCAACTATTGGATTGCAAACATTGACCACTGATCTTTCCACCAACAAGCCTCTCCTCTTCCCAAAATATATGCCCTATTTAATAGTATTACTACTCGAGGCGCAATATGGCAAATTCACAATTATTCTAAGTGCTTTATTTGCTTTTCCTTCACAAACTACACCCAATGGTCATAACAATCACTTGATAAATGTCACATTTTGAAGCATAAATGCCTCATCTTCTATCCTAGAAAACTGGTAATAAAAATAAAGGAGCTGATGTAAGCATAATTAGGGTTTGTTGCAGACAGGATATGGTTGATTTTATTGATATATTTATTGAACCCTAAATAAAGGACAGAAAGTAGTCAAGGGCAGATTCAAGGTTTTTACACCTTGGGAGACTGTTGAAAATGTGTAATACCATGACAGAAACACAGTTGAGGAGGAAATATGATGACTTGATGTTACATTTGTTGAATTTGAAATGAAAGCTAGAAATGCAATCAAGAGTATCCTAAAAGTAGATCGATTTATAAAACCAAAGTGCAAAGAAAGGTCAGGATCAGAGATGCAGATAGGAAAGAGCAAAAAGATGGATAACATTAAGATAGAAACAGTGAAAATACTAAGCAAAAAGATAATATTAAGATAGAAACACAAAAATATTAAGGTAATAAATTTTGCATCCTAGATTCCATTTCTATGTAAAAAATCCTATTAGTATATGTGCAGAGAATAGAACTATAAGGAATTTTTATTTCTTCCATTTTAGACAAGCTATGCTTTTAAAATTTTTCACCAGAGAATGTCTATCATTTTTAATTTAGAAAATTATAAAAGTACATTCCAATAAATGGTTTCTAAATTACCAGTTCAGTCTTCAGATCTTGAATTATAGTTGTTTCTTTGTTTAATTCTTCTGTCAGATGTGCCACTTTTTGGTCAGCAGCTTCTCGAAGACTCCTTTCTTCATCATATTTTGACTTTATATCTAATTTAAAAGAGTTATAAATATTAGTTTTATGACATTAACTCTAGGAAAGGACAGTTTTATGAAGTCCTATATATTATACAGTTTTATAAATTCCTGCATATTACACAATGCATATCTATATATCATTAATTTAAAATCACATTCCTTACATGACCATAAACACATGTAACTTTAACTTCTGATTACATGAAATGGTGAACTTAAAATAATCAAATGTTTCTGTCTACATAAATTCCATATAGCACAACACTATTATGAATTTGCTTGTTAATATATCAATATGCTAATTGATAGCATAACCAAATATTATATCTATATTATTAATTTCTTCAAAATGTTACCTATTAATCTTTAAGCATACCCCAAAAGAAAATTCACCTTCTCTAAATTTCAAGAATTCTACAGAGAAAATCAGTCCTTTGAAAGGAGGTTAGAGGACAAATTAATTTTTATAGCAATTCTACTATTAAATTCTAGTAATAACCACCATAGTATATAACAAATGCCTTCTCACACTAACATACAATTAATGCCTTATTTCTAGGCTCTATAATGGCAAAAAGGTAAGAAGGCCGATATACTAGCTAAAAAAATCTGATTCAATTTACCTGCGATTTCAGTGGCAAGTTGGGCTGCTTTCTGTTCAAATAAGTCTTTCATTTGCTTAATATTAAAATTTTCTGTTTGGGCTTCTTCTAATTGTTGTTCCAAAGACTGTAGTTCTACAAAAAAAGTATCATAGTTATTCAAATACATAATTAATGCTAGTTATATTTCCTAAATTGTTATTACTTATATCCTAATCATTATAGGAAAGATAATCAACATTAAAAAAAAAAGACAATCAACAGGAGTCTATCATCTAATTACAAATAGAATATATCAACATATCAAGAATTAAGCATATCTAATCCATTTAAGCCACAAGTCATAATTTATAAACATATAAAACAAATGAAAATATTTAGCATCATGCCCAAATAATCCATAAATATTTGTTTCAAGATTATTTTGATTTCACATTTGTTATTTTCCTATGACCATCAACTAACCAAAGCAGAATATATTCTGCCTCTCTAAAACTTATTATAATGGGAAATGAAGTTAGCAATGGTTTAAAATCAAGGTCTTATATAAAATAAAAGAATCAATTAAAATATACAATCAACTCCTAATACTTCATTCTCATAAAAAGATTTCAGAGGGAAAGTAAATAGAACAGCTAACCTCAAAATATAATTTTGATTATTCATTGAGCATTCCTCCAGTTAAAGTCAATTACAAAGATGCTAGTTTCATCATTTTATTCCAAGAGAAAAAGAGTACATCACTCTTTAAAATAGTTTTAACTTTTCATTAAACTATATTCACATAATATTCTAGGAGTTTATTTATAACTACAGAATATAACAAATTAAGAAAACACTAAGATTTTTGTTGGCTGATTAAATTATGAACTTCAAAGGTAATATTCTAAATCTAAAATGTGACTATTATCTTCACTGTTTTAGAGCCAGAAAGTATAACCATAATACAAATTTATGTAGCAGACACCAGAGAAAAGGTAAAAAGTAAAAAAGAAGAATAAGCAAGGAGAAAAAGAAAAATGAAAAAACATCTGCTTTAAGTAAAGTTACCTGCTGCTGAGTCAGCCACCATTCCATCAGGCTTAGACTCCTCAATGAAAATAAGACATAAACAAACACATTAAAATGAAAAGAAAATACTATTACCATTGTCAATGTGAAAAAACAAAAAAATCTCTAAAAGCCACATTCTGTGAGGTAAGTAGCAAGATTTTGATAACATTCTCGCCTGTACACAATCTTCCAGATCTCTAAAGTACCATTAGGCAGACTGGCATAATGATCTACTTGGAGTCACTGGTTCTAAGAATTTTTTATGTTAATATAAAGTTATAATGGATATTGCAATAGATAGCATCTTAAATTCTATAAATTCAGTAAAAATACTTTTTTTTAATGCAGGCTCCCTGATGGGCTTGAACTCACAACACTGAGATCAAGACCTGAGCTAAGATCAAGAGCCAGATGCTTGACTGAGCCACCCAGACACACCTGTAAAGATTTAAAAATAACATAAATTATTATCATTATAAACATAGATTCTAAAACCAATACTTAAGTCAGCAGATAAGATTCATAATCTCATAGGGGCGCCCGGGTGGCTGTCAATTAAGCATTAGACTCTTGGTTTTGGCTTAGCTCATGATCTCAGGGTCTTGGGACAGAGCCCCATGTCAGGCTCCTTGCTCAGTGTGGAGTCTGCTTGAGATTTTCTGTCCCCCCTCCTTAACCCCTGCCCGCTCAGATCTCTCTCTCTCTCTCTCAAATAAATAATAAATAAATATTTTCCTTTTTAAAAGATTTATTTATCTTACAGAGAGAGAGAGAGAGAGAGCGCACAAGTGGGCAGAGCAGCAGACAGAGGGAGAAGGAAAAGAAGGATCCCCGCTGAGCAGGGAGCCCAGTGTAGGCTCAATCCTGGGACCCTGGGATCATGACCCAAGCCAAAGGCAGACGTCTAACCAACTGAGCCACCCACACACCCAACAAATAAATCTTTAAAAAATAAAAAAGATTCAATCCTATAACATATAAAATTTTGCATAAACTAAAATATGCCATGAAGCTATCATTACTAAAAAGTTTGGCATTAAAAGCACAAATTTTTAATTTGGAATTATAAATCATCGTTTTAAAAAATAGAAATAAAGAATATATTCCATAAGGTTTAATTTATTATGGGCATTATGAATAAAAAACTATATTGCCTAGTCATTATTTTCACATTCTAAAAAATTATACATATCTGAAAGAGTTTAATAAGGCATCTCAATGTATATCTTTTTATTTTCCTGTACATTAGATTTAGACATACTAGTGCTAAAAATCATCAATATTTTAAATACATTGCCCCCAAAAGTAAATTTCCTAAACCAAGGCAATTTCATCTTGCAATGTGGAGAATTTATTTATTAAATGTGAAAAAGTCATCTCAAATGTAGTAAACAGTTTCCTCTGTTCTCAGGTACAAAAAAATACAGCACATGTTTTGCGAATTATTAATGGTATCTCTGTAAAACATGAGTAAACGAACTGTAAGTATTGTAGATTACTAAAAACTTCTTTCCTACCTCAAATACAGAAGCGAGAAGTAATAAGACTGATACTTTGCTATTCATTTATTTGCATTTTTTTTTAGTCCAAATGGCAATTTTTGGTGAAAAAACAAAAAGGCAAAAAGAGGGGCACCTGGGTAGTTCATTCAGTTAAGCGTCTGCCTTGAGCTCAGTTCATGATCTCAGAGTTCTGAGATGGAGCCCTGCATCAGGTTCCCTGCCCAGTGGAAAGTCTGCTTCTCCCTCTCTCTCTGCTGCTCTTCCTGCTTGTGCTCTCTTGCTCACGCACTCTCTCGCCCTCAAATAAATAAAATCTTAAAAAAAGGCAGTAAGAGTCACAATGTACTAATATGCAAAGGGATCACTAATTACTTAATAAAATGATTAGAACTATTGTTGAAGAGTATCCACTTTATTCTTACAAATAAGAACCATATTTGGTAAAATTCATTATTCTATGATTCTTTATATAACTGTAATACAAAAGCCAATATAATTTTATTTTTTTAAGATTTTATTTACTTATTTGAGAGATTGAGAGAGAGATCACAAGTAGGGGAAGGGTTAGAGGGAGAAGCAAACTCCCAGTCGAGCAGGGAGCCTGATGCAGGACTTGGTCCATGACCTGAGCCCAAAGCAGATACTTAATTGACCGAGCTATCCAGGTGTCCCAAAAGCCAATATAATTTTAATATAAAAATCATAATTGGTTAAGACATTTATTTATTTATTTAAGATTTAATTCATTTATTTGACAGCCAGAGATCACAAGTAGGCAGAGAGGCAGGCAGAGAGAGAGGAGGGGAAGCAGGCTCCCTGCTGAGCAGAGAGCCTGATGCGGGGCTCGAACCCAGGACCCTGGGATCATGACCTGAGCCGAAAGCAGAGGCTTTAACCCACTGTGCCACCCAGGCGCCCCAAGACATTTATTTAGAAAATATATTAAACAACGTATCAACAGAATCTCACTCCAAAGTAACCACTTTTGATACCAATGATTTTGGGTTTTTTCTATGCATTACCTTTATATAAAGCAGTGTGTATATGTGCGTGTATGTGTGTACATATATATAAAAATATTTTTATTGTTTTTTAAAAATAACACTGGTTTAAAAAAAACTAAAATTGTTAATACAACCATTCCCCCACATTTTCAAATAATCTGCATAAATGTAAACAAAAAAGTAAATAATAGTTCTTTCCCTACTAATAGACAATTTAATGATTGCTAATTTGTCACAACACAAATGCTCCGAAGAATTTCACTATTGTCTGAACCTGTATTTTTCAATAATTTAGGTATATTGTCAGAAAATTAGAATAATGCAGCCTGGTATAAAAAGAAATCCACAGGTAACTGATTCTTAATGGAACATCTTTAAGAAATTACATCTTAGCTTCCCAATTATTTGTTTGCTTTCACTAGAATTACAAAAGATATATACTCAAGGCTATAAATACAAATAAACAAATTAGAAGAAGTTATTTATTACAGGTCACCTGCTAACAAAATGTTTATTTTCAACAATGAAAATAAACAACTAATAAACACACTTTAAGTATTTAAAAGCATTTACTTGCTGCTGCAGCCCTTGAAATTTTTCTAATTCTTTCTTTAATTCTTCTGAGTACCATTTTTCTTCCTAAGGAGAAAAAAGTATATATTCTAATTTAGTAAATTTCAAAAGATTTATTATCTGAAACACTGAAAATAAACAAATATAACCATTTTTATTGTTACCTTAAGTGAAGCCTGAAGGTCTTGGACCTCTTGTCTAAGTAGTGTTATATCATCTCTAAACATAAATCGGGGGAAAAAAAGGAATTAATAGTTAACGTCCTCTAATAACCTGGTCTCTTAATAAATCATGGCTAGTGACTATACATTAATATTCTAGTTTTCTCAATTAAAAAAAAAAGTTTTAGAATTTTATATATAGAATTTTATGTATACCCCTTAGAAAAATAATTTTATTCTGAAAAGTCACTGTTTATGAATGGAAAAACACCTTACCACTGAAATGATATAATCCTTACGTGCCTGAGCCAGAAACAAAATATCTCCCATTAATTTCCCAATAATAAGGATTAATAGCTTCCTATTGCAGTTAGGATAAAATCTGAACTCATTAACAAGGACTATACAATCTGGACAGTATAGACCCTGCCTTAACACCCTCCTCCTCATTCCCTCAGCTCAGGCAACTCTGGCTTCTTTCTGCCCCTTGAGTCCTATCAAACCTTCTCATATTCTATTCTCCTTCCCTCAAAGTCAGTCTGACAAAGAACAGTGAGCACACTACTTGGGCCCCAACACACAAAACAGATAGTATCACGCGCACTCATAACAGCATATACTTCAAAGCGATTGTACTGTACCGCTTCAGAGCAAGAGCCTCTCCTCCATGACTTGAGTCATTACCAGCATCATGAACTACCTCATAGTGTTTGAAAAGTTCATCAGCAGATCCAAGGGATTTCATACACTGGGGACATATGAAACCCTGTAGAAAGAGGCAGAAAAAGTTTACAAAATTCTGTTTAATACTGTAAGACAGCAATTTGTATATTATGAAATACAGTCAAATATTATACCAATGGTGCCATTAGTAGACTGTAATTTATGACATTAAGCCCAAAATCTGGTATTGTGTAAATGTACATCACGGTCTATTCTGGTTGAAGTTTATGAAATATGAAAAATCCCTTAAAACCATCTTTTAGGTTGAATAAATTGATGGCTAGAATGCAGAATTCTAATTTGAGAATATAGTTCTAATCTAGAAGACTAGTTGAGAAGACCTACCATAATGTCCTCTCTCTCCCTTTCTAGATATGCCCCTTAGTAAAATAATATCTGCCCTAATCTACTTCATAGGAATGATAACAAAAAAAACTAAAAACAAAGTATTATGATCACTAAAGGAAATAGGTAATATAGTAAATAATTTATAATTACCACAGAATATCTATAATGATTGAGAAGTATTGTAGTACTACTGAATATACTGTAAATTCCTTGCTAACCTAAGATTAACACTGTAAAAGCCTAAAATTAATAGTCCCATAAAATATTAAACACTTATAAATAATCTCAGAATTATATGACTATGGCATACAAGGTCCTGTATGAGTATTCCCTCCATGACCTAATCACTCTGATGCCTGGACACCTCTCACTCTGTACAACTCTACTGACGTTTTCAACTATTCTGACTTACTTATATTCTCTAAACACACCATGGTATCCCACATTTCTTTGCATATATTGCTTTCTCCCCCCAGCACTATGCTTAGTAGCTTGTCAAATTTCTACTTTCACTAAAATAACAAGACTCTGAAGCTTTTCATCCATTTTGCCATAATGGCTAGTGTAGTATTTCTGAACATACTCTGTATTTTCTACACTGAATATTTTTTTAATAAAATAAAATAAAATAACAACCAGCAAACTCAGCCATTAGAACATGCGACTCTTCAAGGTTATGAGTTCAAGCCCCAACTGGGTATGGAGCCTACTTTAAACCTAAATAAATAAGTAATAAAAGTATGAATGAACCTGACAGGGCAGAATTTGGCAAAAAAACAAAAACAGAAGAGGGGTACCTAGTTAGCTCAGTGGGTTAAGTGTCTACCTTCCACTCAGGTCATGAGCAGATCAAGTCCCACAATGGACTCCCTGTTCAGCAGGAAATCTGCTTCTCCCTCTTCCTCTGCCCTTCCTCCCCGCTCGTTCTCTCTCACACACTCAAATAAATTAAAATCTCTATTAAAAAAGAAAAAAACAGAAGAGCTTTAACACCTTGCCAATTGCAAAACTTTCCAAGGGGTAGCCTGAAGAAAGTAATAAATACTCTGAACAAGTAAAAACCAAAAAATTAATAAAAACTTCTCCTTCCCTGGGTGCTACACAAACAGTGTATCGTCATTTCTCATTTATGTGTGCTGTGTGGCAGGACCAAGGCTTGTTGTATGCTGGGGATACTGATACATAGACAAATATTACCAGATAATGGTACAATACAAGTAGATATAAAGAACTACAGGAACACAGGAAAAGAGGAATCCAACTCTGCCTGTGGCAGGAGTTACTGCTTTACAAAAAATGCACAGATACTCATATATATTATATATATGTGTATACACACTAGACACTGGACACTGGAATTTGGTACTAGAGAATGAGTAGGAGTTACTTGTCAGTAATAAAAGAAAGGCATTCTAACAAAGGTATGGAAAGAGGTTTGAAACAGTCGTGCTGCATTTGGGAAACAAAGGTATGTCCTGATCACAGAGCCAGAGTGAGGGGCAGGGGCACAACAGGTAAATGAACACAATGATCTCCTATGAAACTCCTGAAATGAACAAAGAGAGTACTATTAATGATGCACCTTTGGACATCTGAATGATCCCTGAGGCTGCAAAGATATTTGATGCTCAGCACTGTCTTTAAATGAATGAACGTTCCTGGTCTATATGCTAATCTAGCTGATGTTATGCTCTTTCTTCAAAAACCATCTATTATCTACCATCATGTTTCATAACAGCTCCACATTATGCCTAATTTGTCATTCTTATAACTTCTGTAATTAACATTACAGAACTTGTTATAATTAACATGCCTTTAGTGCAATAGTAAATCAACCTCCATACTATTTAGTTTGTCATTTCTCTTTTGCATCTCAGCTTTTACTAGTAATCAGAAGACAAATTAGAATGTTCCTCGGAGAATCCACGTTATCAATTACACTATTTAATCTTTGTAACTTTGGCTTTTTGAGTACTGTCTCTACTTCCAGATTTTGGCTCTAGATATCTAAGGATTCAAGAAAGCTAATGACCACATTAAGGTATGCCATACCTTCTTAAAGCTTCTAAATATTACCAGGTTAATACTCCAGAAAGAACTGATTCATCCCTAAAGAGAAATTTTAGAAATTCAGTAATATATATTTAATTATAGAAATACCCCCACCTAAGTGAATTCTCCAGATGATTCACCTAAGTGAATTTCCCATGCTTAAATAACATTTAAGACATTTGAGACATTTATGGTAAAAATAAATCTTTCTAAAATACATATACTTTCTCATCTTCTTAAATAGATGATATTAAACTTGTTTGATGTCTCAGAGGCATAAGTATTCATCACTGAATGGGTAGGTGACTTTATTAATTCTAGCCTCTTTCATTTCTGTACCTACATTTTATAGTTTTTTCCTATACCCTGTTTTGACTTTTCACAATCACTTCTTAAAATTATTCACATGCTATATCTAATAATGTTAGCCTGATATAGATGGGAAGGATAAAGAAAAAAGTTTATTAAAACCACATCACTCATTTAAAATGACAGTAACTCGGGCTCCTACTTGTGATCTTTGTCTGTCAAATAAATAAATAAAATCTTTAAAATGACAGTAATATAAGCTCAGAGTGAGTATCTGAGGGATGTCTCATGAACAGAATACATGATCTTTAGTTCATGGACCCTGTAATACTAATTCTGGATATTACAAGACTGCTTCTCTATTTTTTCTCAACCACCTTCAAGGGAACTGAAGTTAACTAGATCAATAACTTCCATAAAAATACTGTTAGTAAACAATAAAACACTAAAAACAACCAGCTACATTTATTTCCTTTGATCATTCCAAACTTCCAAACACACACACACACACACACACACACACACACACACATACACCGTGTACTTAAGATTAAAAACAGTAAGTCCCCTACTCTTAAGTTTCAGTTATCTCTAATCCTTTCTCAGATACACTGCAGCTAAGAACTTTCCCTAACTTGATACTTATGGTATCCCTGTTATACTAAGTGTTCTTTCAATTAAAAAGAAAGTTCTTATTTAAGTGACAAGTAGGTGATATTGGGTCTTTTCATTTTGGTTAACCCATAAAGAAGAAAAGCTGACACAGATGTTCTGAAAGGAAGACAACTGGTAAAGTTCTAAGGAGAGCTCTAAGAATCTATTATGCCTTTTTCTTTGCTGGCACCAGTTATCTGGTTTAACTGGTGTCCTCCTATAATGTACCCATTTTCCCCACCACCCTAGAAAATGTCTGGTTTAACTGTTTCCCAATGAAGTTTTTCTGGGTTCCCCTCAACTTGAATCACTACTGCACTCTTTTTGCAAATAATATTCATCAGAGAAATTTCCTGGGATAGAGAGCATAACTTATTTACCTTTATATCTCCTTTACTTACCAAAATACATGGTACATAAGAAGTACTCTATTAATATGCTAAATACATGAATAGTTGGTGAAATCCTTTTCTTATATATATAACAGCCAGACAGAAATACAAACATCTTTTTTTTTTTTTGGTCTTTCTGGGTACAAAAAGTTTCCTTCTTTTGTAAGATTTGCAAAGGAATGGAGGGAAAAAAGCCATGTTTCTTTTTATTTTTAGAATATTGCAGTAATTTTCAAAGGAAACAGATATATTGAGATCACTAAGAAACTTTTTCCAGCCTGCAAATCGACAATAGTTCCCCTCACCGGGTTCCACCCTCAACCATAGACATACACCAGCCCCACACACGACAGAGAAACATGTGAGTGATCCAGTATTAATGAGGAGTTTGTGCCATTCTGTCACCTTCCTCAAGTCCAGGGTGTCAAAACAAAGACTGAAACAATGGTAGATCCAAATTCTAATGCCCTATTTGGTCTCAAATAAAGACAGTAACAATATGCTAAATCCTCTTTCTATATAAGAGTAAAAGCAGTTTAACCTAAAGCATCTTAAAACATTCATTAGCATTAACTAAATAATAAAGATATAACTTATAGATGTTGAAATCAAGTATCATTTACTTTACATTTCAAATTTCATGGCAAAATTTATACAAAAATATTAACTTAAGCTTTTATATTTGTTTACAGATTCACAAAAAGACAGCTGCAGAGAGTAAGAGCAACCAACCCAACTTCCCAAGAGCCTGTTTTCCTTATTGAACCTCTTTGAAGCATGCATAATTAAAGCAATCCATATTCCCTCCGTAGCATAAGAAGTTAAGCAACACCGAGGCAAGGAAAAACAAAACTATTTTGAGCAACCCATAACCAAGCTGCTAAAGCAAAATATACAGGACCCACAGTAACACTGGAGTCATTAAGAAGTTCCTGTCCTCTTGTCTCATTTTCAGCGTGCACTTGCTGGTAATGCTCCGACAAATCAATAGCAGTTATACATCTTTTCATACATAATGGACAGATGAAACCCTGTGAAATAACAACTTTTAGGAGGATGCACATAAAAAGTTATTTATAAATCAAAATACAACACAACAGGAAAATAATTAATATATCTCTTTTTAGTATATGTAAGGGAAATTTTCATAGTAACTACATACAAAAAGGGAAAGAGCTATCCAAAGTAGGATGACTAAAAGTAGCTTCCATCATTATGCTGGAAATTCCCACTGGTTCAATTTTATTATAATTACCAGTTGCTTTACTTGGAATATTAATTACTCTTTTTGTTTAGGACACCTTGTCCTTATTTATCTGAGAGCCATTATTGGCAAGTTAACTTTTATTTTAGATCAAGAAATGACTGACAGTTACAACAAACAGTTTTATGTGAGATAATATTCTCAACAAAAAAAAGTTCTTAAAATGAAAGCAATTTTTAATCTTCACCATATTCCACAAGCCTAAGATCCCACTTTTGCCCATACCCACAATTCTCAATAAGGGATCCTTCCTTCTAAATTCATGAGCCAAATAAAATCATTTTAAATCAATCTCCCTAATTCCCAACACCTAACAATATCTATATTTTAAAATGTGGGCTACCACACTGATCTATGGTTTAAAGTAAATAAAATGAAGACTGTAGTGAAGGACAATAGGTTATAAATGCCATGAGTTTTTGTGTCAAAAACAGATGTGGATTTGAGATTCAACCAATGCTGATCTGACTCTATGACCTTAAGGAAATCACTTTACTTTGCTAAATGCCGATTTCCTCATCTATAAAATGGGGCTAATGTTAGCACCTATTCCTCTAGAGTTATTATGCAGTACTTAAGAGGCTTAGTGGAATGCCTGTAAGTGCTCAATAAACATTCTGTCACTAGATACATGGTTAGAGAGGAAAGAAAATGAAGCCAGGAAAGGCTGAAAGAGCAGAAAAAAAGACAGGAATTAAAAACCTGAAATATTCAGCAAGGCCAAAGAAGTAGTAAGACTATGAGAAAGTTTTTGAGAGGGTTAGTAGTTGTAAGGAATGGGAACATTCAGTTTTAACATCTCAAGTCAAACTATTCTGCCCAATAATAAAGTGGAAGGTATTACCATGAACTTGAGAAGCTAGAAAAGAATAAAGTTCACTAGAATTGCAAACATCAAGAACTGGGAAGTTAGGATGTTCCTTGAGTCACTAATGCCACTTGGGGTAATAGCAAAGGAGACAATGACTATAAAGAAATTCCCAAAGTGGGAGGCAAGGCAGGAAAGCAGTTAAGAGCTAGGCTTGGGCTTGAATCCTCGATTCACACCACTCTTAGTAGCTTATAGGACCTTCAATTTCCTCATCTGTGAAATGTAACAGTAACACCTACTTCATATGGGGGCGGGGAGGGGAATCCTGATAATTAAATGAGATAATAGATGCTAAGTGTTTATCATAGCATCTGATACAAATAAAACAATCGATGTTAGTTATCATTAATATCATTATTCCTTTTGTTAACAACCCTTAAAAGAAGTTAGCAAGGGGATGAAAGTAAGGAACATGAATTCTTTTTATTTTTTCTTTTTACTGATGAAAGAGTTACGTTCAGGCAACCACAGTCCAAAATGCTGTAACTATAGAATAATTACTTAAAAAACTGCATCATTGCATTTTTTTGCCATGATAGATTTATGTTGCCTCTCACTTCACTGGTTTCTTCACTATAAGCTTCCACATACAATCACTTAATGATTCATTCAAAAAGTATGTACTGAGTGTGATTACTATGTTCTAGCCATTATGCTACACTGCTGAGAACACAATGGTAAATAAGGCAAAATCCTACCCTCAGGAAGTTTACAGGCTTCTTGAAAAAGTTGCGAAAGAAAATAATTACACTTTATACCCCACTAATCAGAAATCCTATTAGAACTACCTTCAAACCTTTAGAACCCTAGGACCTCACTACTACCACTCTGACCCAAGCCACGCCAACACTGCACATGGATGACTGCAACAGCCTTCCAACCGCCTCTCTGCTTTTACCCTTACCTCACCAACACTTTATTCTCCACAGAGCAGCAAGAACATATCCTATAAAAATGTAAATAAATTTTGTCACTTTCCTTGTCAAAATTCTCCAAGGGCTTCCCATCTCACCAGGAGTAAAAAACCCAAGTCTGTACAAAGACCTAGAAGGCAGGCCTAGAAGGCCCTGCATGAGGTGGGCTTAATTACCTCCCAGATCCAATCTCTCCTCACTCACTGCGCTGGAGTCACACTAGCCCCTCGCTCCTTTTCTGACAGGCTCGGAAGGCTCCCATCTCGGAGACTTTCTACTTGTTCCAGACAAATAGAACATGGTTGTTCCAGAAACCCACATGACTCATTTCCTCACTTCCTTCAGATCTTCCTGAGCTATTCCTTCTCAGAGAAGTCTTCCCTGACAATACTATTTGAAATTGCAAGCACCCAAAACACTTTCTATAACTCCTTCCCTATTTTATTTTTCTCAATAACACCAATCATTTCCCTCTGTCCACTTCTAGTATGTTTTGGGGTTTTTTGCCTGTTTGCACCTACTAGAATGTAAGTTCTACAATGACAAAAATTCTTGACTATTTTACTGACTGCCATATCTCCAGCATCCAGAATAGTGTCTGACAACACATATTGGATAAATAAATGAGTTTTGGAATAATAATCATTACCAAAATGATAGAAAATACAATCCCCCAGAAGCACATGGAAGAAGCATCTATTCCACATGTGAGTCAAGTAAAGTTTACTGAAAAAGTAATTTTTCCTAAAGGACAATCATATATTAACCAGGCAAAAAAAAAAAAAAAAAAAAAAAGTAAAAGAGCAGGTAAGGCATGGAGATCAGCATGCAGAAGTCCAGACATAAAAAACTTGGCACACCTTAAAAGCAGGAGTTCTGTATGCCTGGATCAAAGACCATAAAGAAATACAACCACACATACAAGGTCAATTGATATCTCACAAAAAGGAAAATTTAATGCAGTGGGGAAAGGGAACATTTTCAACTAATCATACTGAAACAACCATATACAGAACTGGTTTCGATATCCATATGAAAAAAACAAACCTCAACCACCATCTCATATCACATACAATATTTTAAAATAAATAATGGACTTAGACACACACACCAAAATATCAGAGGTAAGCATAGAAGAAAGTCTTTGCAATCTTGGGGTAGGCAAAAAAAAAAAAAAGAAAATTGTAGAAGGACCCAAAACGCAATAACCATAAGAGAAAAGGCTGACAAACTGGACTTTAAAAAAGTTAAAAACTTCTTCTCTTTGGAAGACACCATTAACAAAATGAAAAGCAAGCCACAGACTGAGAAAAAATATACACACTACATACATCTGATTGAGGTGTAAAGTCGAAAATTATGGCCCAATATTACACACTGCTTTGTTGACCGGTGATGCGAGAGCTTCAAATGGCCTAACTGAAGTACCCTTCCCACTCTGCTCCTACAGACAGAATCTTCTACTCAAACAACCGTCTTCTTGGAGCGCCTCACTGGCTTGGTCAGTAGAGCACACAACTCTTGATCTTGAGATTGTGAGTTCAAGCCCCACTTCAGATGTGGAGATTTCTTAAAAAATAAAATCTTAAAAAAACAAAAACAAAAGACCCTCCTCTTCACAGAGCCTGCTTATCCTTAAGTAGCAGGTTTCAGTTCCCTGCCAGCCCAGAGAATAATTCAAACACGCCAGTCATAATCTCCTGCAGGAACCAAGGGGCACCTCACCCTCTTGTTATCATAGACCATGCCTCTCACAGCCCATAGTTGTTCGTTTTGTTCCCAAGTTCAATCCTCATATGGCCCTTCAAGGCATACAGTGTCCTCCTGGGCCATGAGTATATGTGACTAACAAACTGCTGTTGATTTCAAACTGCCCAGTGTCAGGTTAATTTTATGTTCAGCAATCCCTATAAGCCTAAGACAGGAAACCTTCCTTAGCCAATAGGATAAATAGGAGGCAATCAATATTCTGACAAAGGACTTGTACACAGAATAGATTAAAAAAAAATTCTTACAGTTCAATAATAAAAAGATAAACAATCCAACTTTTAAAATGGTCAGATTTCCTGATGCAGACAAAATGGAATAGATATGCTTTTCCCAATTTCTCCTGCTAAGGATACCTAACATCCCTAGACATTATATATAAAACAAACATAAGAAAATTCTGAAAGGTGATGAGAAGGGAGACCAGCTAAGCATCTCAGGATCCAAGGACTGACACAGTGATAAATACTCTGGGTTTTCTTTTGCCTCATATTTTCCAGACTGGGTGCTGGAGAAGCTAGCAACCTAGAAACTTCAATGGACACTTAAAAAAAAAGCCTTCCTTCTCAACCCAAAGGACCAGGAAAATTCAGTGGGTACTAAGAATGTAAGGCAGACTAGAAAGGGATAAAGGGTGAACAAAGATGTTTGTTTCTGGCAACACATTATACTAAATAGTCTGAACAACCATCCTAATGATAACAACTGAAGAATATAAAAGCTTTGGGGTGCCTCGGTGGTTCAGTTGGTTAAGTGTCAGACTTGATTTTGGCTCAGATCATGATCTCAGGGTCCTAAGATCCAGCCTCCCACATCAGGCTAAGTGCTCAGAGGGGAGTCTGCATGAAATTCTCTCTCCCCAGAATTCTCCCTCTCCATCTCCCTCTGCCCCTCCCCACACTGTGCTCCCTCTCTCTCTTTCAAATAAATAAATCTTTTTTAAAATATTTTTTCATTATTTAATTTTCTTAGAAAACAACAGAGAGTATGAGGTGCAGGTGGGGAGGGGGAAGGAGACGGATAAACAGACTCTACACTGAGCACAAGGCCTGACATAAAGCTCAATCCCAGGAACCTGAGATCACGACTTGGTCAGAGTCAGATGCTTAACTGACAGAGCCACCCAGGTGTCCCAACAAATAAATCTTTAAAAAAAAAAAGAAGACAAAAAATCATTTTTACATTACATATTATTTGTTTGATACTAAACATGTAACCTCAAAACTCTTATGTTGAAATCCTAACCCCCAGTGTGATAGTATTAGGAGGTGAGCCTTGGGAGGTGATTAGGTCATGAGGGTGGAGCCTTCATGAATGGGATTAGTGCCTTTATAAAAGAAGCCTCAGATAGTTCTCTTGCCCCTTCAGCCATTTGAGGATGGCCTTCTATAAAACCAGAACCAGGCCCTCAGCAGACACAGAATCTGCCTTAATCTTGTACCTCCCAGGCTCCAGAGCTCTGAGAAATAAATGTTGGTTGTCACTCAGTCTATAGTACTTTTGTTAGAACAACCCATACTAAGACAATATTATATATATTATTACATAAAATAAAACATAAATATGATATAAATAAAGCAAGGTATTGCTTTATTTCTATTTCTTTAAAGTCCTGGAGACTCAGGTGCCAGGGTGGCTCAGTCAGTTAAGTGTCTGACTCTTGATCTCGGCTCAGGTCTTGATCTGAGGGTAATGAGTTCAAGCCCTAAAAAATTAATTAATTAAAAAAATAAAGTCCTGGAGACTGTATTTCAAATTCCACATAGACAGCCACTAAGGGAACAAAGTTCAAACCTATAATTTGTTCAAAGTGGGATGCCAACCTTAAGGTAAAAGGGAAACAAACCTTAGAGAGAGAGACTGACAGACACACAGAAATATCATCCAAGACCTTAACAAGTATATACCCCAGCACTGGGCATATGAACATCTAGAGCAGTATTTGTCTGCCAATAGGAATAATTCATGACTAAAAACTAAAAGTGGCAGGAGGAAGAGAGAATAAGATAAGAATGTGGGACAGAGTGGAATCCAGAATACAAGAGAAAGGATTGAAATCTGATAAGAAAAGAAAACTGTCTTCCATGTATTAAAGTAAGAGAATAAAGGTGCAAATAGCTTTGATAACAAAATGAGGACATTCACCTAATAGCTCCTATTTTCTCAATGATATAGAAGGTGCCTGAGGGAAGGTGGGATTGGATAAGACTTAGGAGAGATATGAGGATAAAGAAGAGAGTAAAACTGTATCAGAGAGTAGGAAAATGACACTAATAAGAAACTATAGCAGGATTACCAGGCACTGCTCACTATCCACTGGAGATGTCTATCTATCTATCTATCTATTTATTTATTTATTTATTGTGGTCTGACCAAGGTCAACAATTAAACTTGCTCTTAAAATTCAACTGATACTTTTCTCCTCACTCTCATGGTCTTGTTACATCTCATCATGGTTAATATCCATATACATGAAATCAGATGGCCAGAAAGAGACGAAACAGGGAAATGAATGGAGAGAGAAATCCAGAAATACACAAGACAGAAGACAGACTCACCAACCAAGAGGTGCAGAAGTGGGGATCACAGAAAAGGGGACTGGGTAGGCAATACACTTGGGCCCAGAAAGGGGCAACTGACAGAAACTGTCAGAGCAGAATGTGAGTACATTGATGTCTTAAAACAATATTATTGGTGGTTTTTATGCTCTTCTCTTTCCTTTCCCCTTTTTCTATAATGAGCAAATGTTATTCATTAAAAATAGTAATAATAAAGCAACTACTACTGATTTCTTCAAAAATTTGAGTTCCTTCTTAGATTTATTTACTTTCCCCATTAATTTTTAATAAACTATGAAAGATAAAAGTTCTTACAAAGTTGTAAATGAAGATAGCAAATAATGTACAGACTTTACTAATTTTTCATTAGCTCAATAGTTCATGACAGTGCAAACACTAATTAACTGGTAATTTTTATAAATAGATTTAAGATCTTCCATTAAGTTGAGATAACATTAGCACTGAAGACAAATTAACAATATTAATTTTGTCTTAATACACACTTTCTCAGTCTTAAAACTAAACACCAGGATTTTTCTACAAGTGTGATTCAAAAGTCACATTCCAGTTTATAAGAGTGAGAGCTTTTCCTGCAAAAGTTTAAATTACTGACCATTACTCCAAATACCTGCTCATTTTCCGTTAAATAGTACCAAATTTTATCGTGAAATTATTATTTCCATACCTCTGAAGAGCTTTCATTATTGACATCCACTGTGTTTATAGGAGCTGCTGATGAATCTAAATCAGAACCTTGAGAGCCAACTCTCCCAGGAGTCTGAAACAAAGAGAGAAGAAAAATTAGATATTAATAATATATTCATAAACTATTTAACAACCGCAACAGTAATCAGGGCTAGCCTTATACATAAAAGCGGATGTCCTCTCAATAAAAGTAACAAACAGTACTAGCAGCTATCCTTTACTGAAGACTGTGCCTAGTACTGTATCAAGATCTCTGCCTGCATTCTCTCATTTTTAGTCTTTTTAAATTAATAAAAAGCTTATTTTTACATATAGTGCCTATAGTCTTCAACTCACTTTCACAAAAAAATCTTATTTAATCATAATGACACCTCCAAGAGAGGCAGGACACATGCTATCTCTATAGATGAGAAAACAAATTCAAAGTGGCTAAAAGGTTTCTCAAGATTGTACTGTTAACAAAAATCAGAAAGAACTAAAATGCTTACCTTCTAATTCCCCTTGCATTGCTCTCTCTACCATACCAACTAAACTACAATAATTTGAGGGTAGCTAAAAAGATCAACACAGCCCATTCATGCCAATCATTAGCAATCTATCTCCAATACTTGATATTTCATCACCAAAAATATATATAGTTTGGAGGTTCAAAGGTCTTTTTCTTTTTCTCTTGCAACACTTATCCTCTAACATTATCATTCATTAATACCTAGGTGTTACCTTAAAGGAACTGAAAATCTAGTAAAACACTGGGCAAGAAGAAAGATTCTTAGAACACAACAACTAACTTAATAATCCTTAGCAAAAAACATTTATGGTACACACCATCATTATTCTCACTTCACACAAAAGAGAACTGAGGAATGAAAACTTAAGTAATTTGCCCAAAATCACATGGCTAATCAATGGGAGAAAGGTTTTTAATTTGAGTAGTCTGGCTCATAATCACTAAACCATACTGCTTTTCTGCTGTACATCTCTGCTGAGATGCACCACCTCAAGCACCCAAGACTGAGTGCAATTCACTGTACTTGTCTCAACACGCAAACACCCTATTCATCACTATTAAATACTCAACATAAATGCCAAATAAGAAGGAAATGCTACTACTTTGAAATTCATCAATAAAAATGATTACGAAAGCTGCACTGAGGGGCACCTCAGCTCAGGTCATGATCTCAGGGTCTCGGGATCCAGCCCTTTGGCAGGCTCCCGCTCAGCAAGAAGTCTGTTTCTCCCTCTTCCTCTGCCGCTCCCCCTACTTGTGCTCTTTCTCTTTCCCTCTGTCAAATAAATAAAATCTTTTAAAAAAAAAAAGCTTCATAGAAAAATGACAAAACATACACACTATAATTATGTATAAAAACTATGTAAGAGATTCAAAGGATATATATCCCAAAATACAAATGATTTCTGTAGCAAGACACAGTTATGGATATTTTGGATTTAGGTTTTCAGGTTTTGGTTTTGCTCATTTTTTTTTTTTTTTTTTAGAATTCTAGATCCATAGTTAAATTACCTTTACACTGAAATTTTTCTTGTTATTAAAAATAAGAAAAGAAAAAAAAAAGCAGAACTCTCCAAATTGGATGATCCACATCCCTATCATATTTTCCCAAAATGTAACCTTCTAAAACTTTGTAAACTTACCCAGAGTATGACTTAATTGTGTTCATTTAAAATCCAAAAAATTCTTATTTTTAACTCTTCTATCAGCTATCCTCCTCTAAAAAACAAAGTAAGATTCTTTCCTAAAATGGTATGCTTGAGACACGAATTTATAAATAAATAAAAGCCAGCTATCTAGATTTGATGATACCTATGCATCTGGCAAAAAGGTAGCTCAGTGGCAAAAAGACCCTTTAAATTATATACTTAATATAAAGAATTATATAAAACTAGAAATTCATTTCAATAGCTTCACACCATAATGGTTTGTAAAACTAGTGACCCCATCCTCAAAAGACTGGAAACTAAAGCTGTGTCTCCCAAGAATTTCTATTTTCCCCATTTCTGTATCATTTACTTTTCCAAAGTACAGGTGGTTTTCATCTGAGATTTACCTTCCCTGTGAAGCAATTCAAAGATATATCTACACAATCCTATTACTGCCACTAAAAATATTTTTTCTTAAATTTGCCTAAAGTAGTCCTAATAAACAGACCTAAGTAAGCCCAAGAGGCATGGGAAGTAAAAGGAAAAACGAGAGAAACTATTGACACTTTTTCATACCCATATTTTAAACACATTCCCCCTAATTGTTGCTAAACTGTCTAATAACTTCTTGTTCAGCTCTTAGGTTGCCAAAATCCTATTATTTTAATGAGAAGTCCAATTACAGTAATGATGATCCTGAAGAAACAATATGAAGTATTCTAATTTTTCTACTTATAAGTTTTACTTTGTGAAAAACAACAGAATAATTTCTAGTAGGGATGCCTGAGGGGCTCAGTCAGTTAAGCATCTATCTTCAGCTCAGATCATGATCCCAGCCAGGGTCCTGGGATGGAGCCTGCCCCTCGGTGGTGTTAGGCTGAGCCTGCTTCTTCCTCTCCCTCTGCCACTCCTCCTGCTTATGCTCTCTTACACACACACACACACACACACACACTCCCTCTCTCTCTCTTTGTGTCAAATAAATAAAATCTTTTAAAAAAGGAAGAATTTATGCTAAAAAATTAAAGTAACAGGGAGATAAATATCTTCCAAATTATGCTTTTATAGAAAAGTATTACCTAAATTTAGGTATCTTTTACAGTAACCAAAAAGTATGTAACTCATCTATTCATCTCCCATGAAGCATCCAGCATTCTGGAAGGCTCTGGATGTCAAAAGGAATGGGGACAGCATAAGAGAAACAAGGACCATGCCCTGAGGTAGACTACATCCTGGCTGGAGAAACAAAACTAATGTAAACAAAAAGAGGTAGGAAAAAACTTGAAAAAAATTAAATGCTAAATGGAAGAGCTGTGAATGCAAGTAGAGTTCTGAGAAAAAAAAATAGATCAGTGCTAGTTCTGATATCTGAAAAAAAAAAAATTAATTCCTTGAAGGAAAAGTTAAATTTACTTAAGTGACAGTCATTCCAACTAGACAAAATTTAAAAATATACAAAAGCAGAGAATACAGAAAAAAGAACACGGATTTTTTTAAAAGATTTATTTATTTTAGAGAAAGAGAGAAGAGAGGGAGAGAGACAGGGACAGGGAGAATCCCCTGCAGACTCCCTGCTGAGCAAGGACCCCCCCCCCCCACCAAAGGGGCTCAGTCTCACAACCCTGAGATCATGACCTGAGTTGAAATCAAGTGTTGGACACTCAACTGACTAAGCCACCCCGGCACCTCAATAAGAACACTGTATGTTAATAAATGTGTTGGACAGAAAGTTACACACACACACACACACACACACACACACACATATACAGGTATTAAATAGGTTAGACTGATCATACAGAATGGGTAGGGGATATAAAACATTGAAATACACCATGGTAAACAGAGAATGGCCACAACTCCGGTCCAGATAGCACTTGCAGTTAACACAGACACCAAGCTGCCTCAGTTCCAAAGATCAATAACAGATAAAGAATTTATATTTTTTTAAGATTTTTATTTATTTATTTGACAGATAGATCACAAGTAGGCAGAGAGGCAGGCAGAGAGAGAGAGGAGGAAGCAGGCTCCCCACTGAGCAGAGAGCCCAACTCGGGGCTCCATCCCAGGCCCCTGGGATCATGACCTGAGCCGAAGGCAGAGGCTTTAACACACTGAGCCACCCAGGTGCCCCCAGATAAAGAATTTTTAAGTATTAAAGAGGTAGAACCATGTTCAAAAACAAGATAAGTATCTCAGTAGACCAAAAAATAAAACAGAAATACACAGAGTATAGAGTATAGAGTTCTGGGACCTAAAATAGGTAGAGTCAACCAAATTCTTACAGGATAAAAGGGACCAAAATGCCCCACATCTGCTAGGCATCAAGAAGCTTGGCCCACTATGGGAACTCAGAAAGTGGAACACAGCTATGGCCCTTGCCATGAACAGAAAAATTTTTAAAGGGTATAAATTCCATCAAGCCCTATATCTGGGCTTGATGTCTGATCAAAACTTTTTTTTTAAGATTTTATTTATTATTTATTTGACAGACAGAGATCATAAGCAGGCAGGAGACAGGCAGATAGAGAGGAAGGGACACAAGCTCCCCACTGAGCAGAGAGCACAAAAGGGGGCTCGATCCCAGGACCTTGGGATCATGACCTGAGCCAAAGGCAGAGGCTTTAACCCACTGAACCACCCAGGTGCCCCTGATCAAAACTTTTATAGGCAGGGATAAATAGGCATTCTAAGCAAAGCATTATTTATGAAAGTGAAAAATTATATATAATCTGTATGTTCAAAACAAAGAAATGGTTCACTAAATTATGACATACCAGGGGCGCCTGGGTGTTTATTAGAAAAATGATAATGCATGTGATACAATGTTAAATTTGTAAGAGGCAAAGTACAAAGTTTAGATATATTATAACTTGATTATATAAAAATATAAACACAAAGAAACTAAAAGGTCATATAAGACTGATGAGTTTTATGTTAGGGCTATTTTTGTTGTTGTTACTATTTTTTCCTTATGTAATTAAAAGGATGATGGGGCGCCTGGGTGGCCCAGTTGGTTAAGTATATGACTCTTGATCTCAGTTCAGGTTATGATCTCAGGGTTGTGATGTCAAGCCCCATGATGGGCTCCCTGCTCAGTGTAGAGTCTGCTTGAGATTTTCTCTCTCCCTCTCCTTCTGCCCCTCCCCTTATTCTCTCTCTAAAATAAATAAATCTTTTTAAAAAATTAATTAAGTAATTAATTAAAAGGATGAGATTTGTGTTGATGGGTTTTGTTAAGCACCAACCCACCTCCCCAAAAAAATATTTCATTAGTTTTTATCATACTGTTTAATTTCTCACTTTTTAAAAAAATTAAGTTTAAAAAAATATTTGGGGTTGCAAAAAGATCCAGATAATTACAGTCTAACACCCTTCGTTAATGTTTAGTTGCCTTGCCCAAAGTGATCAACATTT